TGGGGGGGGGGGGGGGCGGGGAGGGGATACATCGAGAATCACTCAGCAGCAGGGACCGTGTGCCTAGCATAGAGCCCAGCGAATGGACAAAGGGGAGTGGGAGGACCCCGGGGACTCCGAAGGTGAGGGCCCCTTACCTCTAGGCTGCCCAAAGGATTGAGACACAGGAAGTAGCCGGATTTCTGCCCGAAAGTCTTGCCGAAGCTGGCGGGCGCCCCGTCCACAGTGCAGGAGATCTACAGCGCGGATGCGGGTCAGCGCCAGGCTCTTACCGGCTGCAGCCGACTCTGCCCCCATTCAACCCCCGACCCCTGGTGTCGCCGCCTCTCTCCCTATTCGTCCCTGGTCCCCTGACATTGCTCACCGCACTGAACCCCCGCGGCGGGGGCCCCGAGGCCGACGACCAGGCCAAACCAGCCAACGGGGCCGCGTCGGCCCCGGACCCCGGATCCATCCTCCAAGCCAAGCACCGAAGGCGGGGGACGGCCTCTGACCTCCTAGCCGCAGCTGGACTACGGAGTTCGGGCAAGAGTCTGAACTACAACTCCCAGACGGCCTTGCAAGACAGGGGGCCCGGAAGCGCCGTATGAGCGTGCCGGGGAAGCCGCCGGCCAATCGCGTAGGGACAAGCAGCCACACCCTTCATGCCCACCCTCCCCCGCCCCCCCAACCCCCCAACCCCACGGCGGGCCTTTGAGCGACGTTTGCGGAAAACTGTCTCGCTTTCTTCTCACGCCCAGCAACTTCTGCCGGAAATGTCTCGCTAGCTGCAAACCAAAACTACATTCCCCAGAATTCCTTGCGGCATCAGCCTCTACTCCAGAGATGCGGTCGGTGTTTCACGGAAATTTGGGGGAGAAATATGAAAAACTCGCAATTCTAGCTCCAGGAGGTCATCCGAAAGGACACTTTCATGTGTTATGCTGCGATTAGTTTAACGAAAAATACGGACCAACTTGAGCCATGAAATCTTGGTGTAACTTGAGGAATTATTCACAGATACAATTAGTTTTTTTTTAATGTTTTAAAAGTATTTAGCATGGCTACATGCTTTTACAGGCCTCAGGGGGAAATATGGAAAACTAGGGAACAGAATATTATCTACTCCTGTATATTTTACAATTTTTTACAATATCCTGGGTTAGCCCACTGCCTGTTTTTTGTACCACCTGTGAGAAAAAAAAATGGTTTTTATATTTGTGATGAAATAAAATTGTTTTTAAGGCAGGACAAAAAAACTTTTAACATAAAATTCTCTCTGCCGTTTGGGCCACTACCTGCTCCCCTTTAGCGTGCATTGCGCATCTGCATTATAAGTTAACTAGATATCCTTAACACAGGAATGCCTGCTTGAAAGAAAAGAGCTTCTGGCGCCAGGAAGGTAGCTCCTTAGGAAATAACATTTCTTTCTCAATTCTGTAAAGGGTCATGATAACCCACTACTCACCTTGTATGTGGATCTGGACTACGTAAACTGTCAAAACCTTGACTCAAAAACTATACAACTGTGCTTTGACCTCTAACCGGTGGAACAGTCCTCAGAACTTTCTGAAAGACTTTCTTTCAAGTTACAATCTCAAGACTATGGGGTCCTCTTGAAGTACCCCATTATTCCCACTGCTTAGGAGGAATGTTGGTTCCCAACCCCAGGAGTTCCCCAGGTGAAATTTGAAACTGACCCCCATACACAGAAGGCAAGGAGAAACCAAAGAAAGAGGCAGACCACTCCGGATTTGTAGGTGGCAGGTTTAACAAACGAGGGAACTTATATACGAGGCTTGTCTCAGGCAGCCACAAGATGAATAGATCTCTACACTGAGATAGGAAAGGGGTAGGGCACAACCTTTAAAAGAATGACATAGCCGTTGAGGACACGACATAAACTGGTTATGATCTCGGAGAGACAGCAGTGAGTGGTCCTGAAGAGAGATCTCAGTTCCCTGCCCAGGAATTGAACCTGGGTAGCCTGGATGAAAACCAGGAATCCTAGCCACTATACCACCAGGGGCTAGAGGCTAGAAGCAAAGGGGTCCTGGCTGTTTCCCCCGTCTCTTTCCCCTGTTTGAAAGCAGGAATGTTTCAAGGAGGCAAAAATTGTAAAAACAGGCACAAAGTTTATTATTAGAGACACAGCACTGTGGTGTATGGGAGAGCACACAGAGAAGTTTATTTATTTAAATCAGGCAGAAATACAGAATACACAGAAAGCTAGGCAGAAATACACACCTAGAGAGAGAGGGTATGGGCCACCTCTCTGATGAGGAAGAGTGCAGTAAAGAGCTGATACAAATCCCTTATATAGGACAGTCCTTCCGGGTCTTTGTTTATCTTTGGCCAATTATCTCATTTCTTTTCCCTCATCTGACTTGTTCTAGGTCACTCCCCAACATGCGTGCACAATTTTTTGCTAAGATGGATCCCACCGCAAAGGCCTGTGGGTGCATGTCCACACTTATGGGGTGGTGCCTCCTCCCTTTTTGAGCCCCAAGGAGCCTTCCTGCACATGTGCAGACAGGGAAGTTTTCCTTAACCTCAGGAGCTGTCACCTTATCTCTTTACTTCAGCAGAGCTCAGCTTCTGCCACCAGCTTTGTCCTTGGAGCGTCTGGGTGAGAACAAAGCTTCAATTTTACTCCACTTGACAAACACCAGCTGTCCAACCCAGGGGCCCATCTATCTCCTACCTCAGTTAGAACCAACTAGGTCCAAGATGGCAGAGGAGTCGACTTCCACTAGGCCTTGAGCCTCAGTATACACTAATTGTAATACATCAGTAAGCTAAATGTCACACCCACAGGCACCCTGACAGTTCTGAGGCCTACCGTAAAAGGCCAAAAAGTTGGCGGTGGGCCAATTCCTGGAAATCCCCTCCCCTTCCCCAAAATAGTTGGAATAATCTTCGCACTCATTAGCCTATGAAATTACCCACCCCTATAAAAACTGACAACCTCATATCCTGGGGCCTCTTGCCTTCTGAGATGGCCCACACTCTGTCTATGGTATGTGTATCTCCCTGAATAAACCTTCTTTCACTTTACTATGGCTCGCTCTTGAATTCTGTCCTGTGCAAAGCCAAGAACCCACACTTGGTGGCCGTCCCAGGGACTCACCTAAGACCTGGGATGTGACCATCCTCTTACACCCCACTTTCTCTCCTGCAGCGACACTGCTTACCAGAATCTTAAAAGTTTATGCAAAGGTCTTAACAGGATTCAGTCGCATATACCGTTCAGATTATCTCAACAACACTTTACTCTCTCAAGGCTGCATCCTTGAAAATGGTTCCCTTTGTGAGAACAGTGGGTGGAACATACATTCCAAGGATGGAGAGGGGGTGAGGGGCCTCTGGTTCCCTGGATCCACCTCGAGGGTCAACTGGTAGCCATGTCCTCTCAATGACCTCCTCCTGAAACGGAGCAGGACCCTGTAGTCAGTGCTTCCCCATGTCCTCAGCCTGCCTTTTGTGTGTGGAAAAACTTTAGTCGAAGAATAAATTTAATCAGAAAAATGAGAAAATGTAGAAACAAAGGAAAACAGTCTAGCAAGACTAAATAATAATAGTTTAGTCACTAAGCATAGTCAAGGACTTTTAGTTCCTTCTCAAGGGCTGTAGATAATATTCTGAGCCGTATCCTGTGAGCTGTCTTATAGATACCGAAACCCCCCACCAGCTGGAAGAAGTTAGCTACATGATGACCAGACTGCAGCCAGGACCTAAGCTGCTCCAATTTATACAATTCCAAGAACTGGCCTCAAAGAAATGGGAACAAACCCTGGAGCTGAAGATTAACTGTACTTAAAACAATCAAGATGTTGCTGGTCAGACCACCGCACGACCAATTTCAAGATGACTGTGCAGTTTCTGCATGTAGCCCCTACATGCAGGGACCTCAAAGGGAGTTGGCCTTTGGACAGAAGTCCATCCTCCCCACCCCCCGGTTGCCGGCATCCAAAATAAAGCAAACTTTCCTTTCCACCAACCTTGTCTCTTTATTGGCTTTTGAGCAGTGAGCAGCCAGACCCCACTCTTGGTTACACTCCAACACTCCACCCCTCATGACCAGCTCTTACAATTTCACATGGCCCCCTCTTCCACAATACGCACTGAGTAGTCAGCCAGGGATTTCATTAGCGTTGGAGGTGGCTCGTTAGGCGGCTATGTGGCTGCTCTGGAGGCAGATAGCACAGAGACAACATAGGTATGTGGGAGAGGAAACACAGATTAAGATAAGGATGCCCAAAACAAGTAACAATTTTTCCCACCAAGAGCCCCATTGAGGCAGGAGATAGATGGGCTCCAGGCTGGACATTTACAACTAGCCTTCTGTTTACATTTCCTGAGGCAAGAGGCAGGTGGACTCCAGGCTAGATATTTTCAACTGGCCTCCTGTTTGCACTTTGAGATGGGAATAACAACAGAAACAGGGTAAATAGTTGGATTTTGTCTCCTGTGGGTACTTTAAGATAACAGTTATGGCAGGGACAGAGAGAGGCTATACCCTGTTTAAGTAAAAGATCAAGAGGTTGGCCACTGGGTGGCCCGGCTTGCGCGGAAGCCCTGGGACTCCCGCGGGTTCCCCGGGAAGCTGTGCAAATTGACAGATGTATGTGAGGAGGTGCCTGGTCGGCCTCACGTTTTGTACCTGCTACCTGGCTTCTTACCTCACAAACAAGTATGTCCTGTCTGTCTTGAAATTTACCTACCCTACGTTATTCCAAGGGTGGCAGGCATTAATTGGTGGACTTTTGCTTCATGTGTCATGGAAACTGGGCTGGGCAGAGATCAACAACTGTTCAAGATCTGATGTTTTGACATGGCTTCCTGCTTCAGTGCTGTTTGTGGGTATCACCTATGCTGGTTCCAGAGCACTGTCCAGACTAGCTATTCCTATGTTTCTCATTTTGCATAATGTAGCCGAAGTTATCATCTGTGGGCACCAGAAGTGTTTTCAGAAAGAGAAAACATCTCCTGCAAAGATCTGTAGTGCCCCCTTCCTCCTGGCTGCTGCAGGGTGCCTGCTCTTCAGTGACTCCCAGTTTGATCCAGATGCTTATTTCTGGGCTGTAATTCACTTATGCTGCATAGGGGCTTATAAGATACTACAGAAATCCCAGAAACCCAACACGTTAAGTGACATTGACCAGCAGTACTTAAACTATCTATTCAGTGTGGTGCTCCTGGCATATGTACCTCACCCCACAGGTGATCTCCTCAGCGTCCTGGACTTTCTGTTCCTGTATTTCTATAGATTCCATGGCAGCTGCTGTGCCAGTGGATTTTTAGGATTCTTTCTCATGCTCAGCACAGTGAAGCTAAAAAGCCTTATGACCCCAGGGCAGTGTGCAGCCTGGATTTTCTTGGCTAAGGGGCTTCCCTGGTGGCACAGTGGTTAAGAATCTGCCTACCAATGCAGGGGACGCGTGTTCGAGTGCTGGTCTGGGAAGATCCCACATCCTGTGGAGCAACTAAGCCCGTGTGCCACAGCTACTGAGCCTGCGTGCTAGAGCTCGTGAGCCACAAGTACTGAGCCCACATGCCGCAACTACTGAAGCCCACGTGCCTAGAGCCTGTGCTCTGCAACAAGCCACCACAGTGAGAAGCCTGTGCACCGCAACAGAGAGTAGCCCCTGCTCACTGCAACTAGACAAAAGCCTGTGCGTGGCAACAAAGACCCAATGCAACCCCCCAAAAATATAAATAAATAAATAAATAAATAAATAAAACACCAAACAGAAAAAAAAGAAAAAGAGCTTGACCACTTCCCTGGTGATCCAGTGGTAAAGAATCTGTCTTCCAATGCAGGGGACGCGGGTTCAATCCCTTGTCAGGGAACTAAGATCCCACATGTCGCAGGGCAATGAAACCCACACAACACAACTACCGCGCTCGCGCACCTCAACTGGAGATACCACGTGCCACAAACTACAGAGCCCACGTGCACGAGAAATAAGCCCGCACACGGCAACAAAAGATCCCACATGCCTCAACGAAGATCCTGCATGCCGCAATTAAGACCCAACACAGCCAGAAATAAATTAAAAAATAATAAATCTTTAAAAAAAGTAGATCAAGAGGTCACATATTTCCCATCCTTAGGGCAAGAAAGACACCACACATGCGTTAAAAGGCTCCTCGGGGCGTCAAAAGGCAGGGGACAGGGACCTCCCTGGTGGTCAAGGGGCTTAAACTCCACACTCCCAATGCAGGGGGCCCGGGGTTCAATCCCTGGTCAGGGAACTAGATCCCGCATGCATGCCACAGCTAAGAGTTTGCATGCCGCAACGAAGAAGTCCGCATGCCGCAACTAAAGATCCCGTGTGCCTCAACAAATATCCCCCCTGCCGCATCTAAGACCCAGTGTGGCCAAAATAAATAAATAATAAATAAATAAATTTTTTAAAAGAGGGGCGGCCAGGGGACACCAGACCATAATAAGTCATGTCAATTCCCCGCCCCCACCCCCCCAGAGGCCCTTGTGTTAGAATCCATCTTCTCTGAGGTATGTGCGCACCTACAGAGGGTCCTGAGGCAAATCAGCCATGGGCCCAAAGCAAGATGATTGGCCAGAGGGGAAACAAAGACCCAGGAGACTGCCCCCTTGTAAAGGATTGAAACTTCCCAAAGGCACGACTCTCTTGCTGAGTTCACCCGTCCGTCTGTACTCTGCTTTTCTAATAGATGCTTTACTTTCCTTTCTACCTTCCGTCTCCTTGTCAGAAAGTTCTCTTTTAAAGGCAGACAAAGACTGGGGCCCAGACTCTAGCCACAGTCCCTCGTGGTCTAGTGGTTAGGACTTGGCACTCTCACCACCATGACCAGGGGTCAATCCTTGGTCAGGGAACTAAGATCTCACTTCAAGCTCTTGCTCACCGCCAGCTACCGCTCACTGCTGTGTGTGTTCGAAATCACCATGATCTGAACCACCGATTTATTGAGTGTCTGAGGCTGGGGGTCACTCAGGGCATTCACTGTGTCCTCATGTGCTTTAATAAAGATGCTACATTAGCAGACTCATCGGGTATGAACACACAACATTCTGCTTGGATCATGGCCCAGGTGCCTCCTTGCAAGGCAGTAGTGATGTCCAAGGCCATCTTATTTTGGAGGACAGCTCTTCTCATTTAAGGCTTGCTGGGTGTATTGACTAAGGGCTTCTATGTGTGCTATAACGTCCTCCAGGCCAATAGAGGGAATAAAGACAGTGGCCAAATGATCGTACCAGTGGAAAACAGAACTTGCCCACCTGGGAGATAGCAGATGAGGGGAGGGAAGTTGGCAACTTTTGTTACTGTAGGGTGGATTCTCCCCATACCCAGGGTGTAGCAGCCCAACCATCCAGGTGGAAGCCACAGCCAAAGAGTTTTCCCACACATCGTTGGGTCCTATTTAGGGTTACCCAATACATATGTGGGTGACATGACCAGTCAGTGCCAGACCAGTTGCTGTTCCTTAATATGACAGAATACCTGCACAGTTCCAATGGTATCCTCCCCATATTCCTGGTACAACTGGGTTGGTTCTGTTGAAAGTGTTTTTTCTGTTCCCAACATAGGGGTACCTAGGTGCTCAAATATCCCTAACCCGGGGTAAGCCACATGAATCCGTTCCAAAATCTGAGCGTTGCCATCCATGCTTCTGATGGTGGTGCTTTTAGGACCTTTCTGGTCAGCAGTTGGCTGGGCTGCCTGTGTTGATTGATTGACAGAAAAATAATACCCATGTCCAGTGTTACTGACGGTTTGTGCCCCAGGTAATATTGGTAATATCAGATGAATTAAGAGCATTCATCCTAATTTGTTTCTTTCTGTAATGTCACATACTGCTTTAGTGCCTTCTTATTTCGTTACTGGAGTGTTGGTACCCACCATGACGATCCCAATGAACTAGAGAGGAGCAGCTGCCCACATACCCAACAGCTGGATTGATTGCTGGGCATATTTGTGGGCCCACTGTAGGAAGGTATTTCCATCATGTCCCCATCCTGTGACCGAACACCACAGGAACAGCAAAAGTCTAAGGTCAAAAAGACAGATTAGGGGCTTCCCTGGTGGCACAGTGGTTGAGAGTCCACCTGCCGATGCAGGGGACACGGGTTCGTGCCCCGGTTCGGGAAGATCCCACATGCCGCGGAGTGGCTGGGCCCGTGAGCCACGGCCGCTGGGCCTGCACGTCCGGAGCCTGTGCTCCGCAACGGGAGAGGCCACAGCAGTGAGAGGCCCGTGTACCGCAACAAACAAACAAACAAACAAAAAACAGATTATTTCGTAGGAACTGGTACTGGGAGGTCTTCCCTTCTAGAAGAATTACACCTGTGGCCTGATCCTTAGCTGTTAACGTGGCTGCAGCTTTAGGTTGTACATAGCATATATGTTGGCCAGCAGAGGCAGCGCTGTCAGGCGTGAGATAGACTGGGGGTGGGATATGTCAGACCAGGACCACCACCTTGTCGTCCCTCTCAGTGGTACGTGTTCCATTCCAGGGACAGTGCATTTCCATGGGCGCAGCTTGTAGCAGGACAATGGGATTCCTCCTCACCTGGGGATGTGAACTAACTCACCCATCCCTATGGGCCGCCCCACTGCAAAGTCCAGTAGATAACGCCTGTCTCAGGTGTGATGGGGCTTGGTGTTCTCAGCCGCACAGCGTGGTGATCCACCATGATGAGAGTCGGGCCAGTGGCTGTCTCCCGTCACTTCCGTAACTTTACAGTGTTGGGTGTCTTGGCAGGGCTCCCCAGTCTGGCATATGAGGCAACAGGCCCTATTGGTCAATCATTTAAATGTCTTAAAGCCTGGGATAGTACTTTAGTCGAATCAGCCAAGGTGGTTTTACCTGTTAGTCATTTAATCTGCTGCTTTAAAATCCCATCCTTCTTTCCTACCAACCCTGCTGCCTGTGGCTTTTAGGGGAAATGGAACTTCCGTTCCACGTCATGTGCTTTTGCCAAATCTTGCACCACATGACCCTTAAAATGTAACCCCCGGTCACTGTCTATTTGAAGAGGGTATCTGTACTCCGTTTCTCTAATCCCCTAATGGTGGCAACCTGGCTTGGGCAGCCACAGGAGAAAGCTTGGGTTAGGCTAGATGTTGTGTCCACGTAAACCAAGACATTTAGAACCCTCACTTGGAGGGAGGGGGCCAATATAATCAATTTGCCAATCCCTCACTGGTTGGGAACTCCAGTGGATGGCGCCAGAGTCCTTTGGCAGTTGCCTGGGGTGTTGTTTAGAACACACATGCTGTTATGGCATTAACCAAGTCACTTTATTTCAAGGGCAATCCAGCATCCTTGGCAATATGCCATCCCAGTCAGGAACTGCAGTGGCTGCAGTTCCTATGTGCCCAATCTGCTGTATCTATTGAGGGGTCCACTAGGCCTCATACTGGGCTAGAGCATCAGCTCCCCATTTGCCAGGGGGCATCAGCACCTTAAGAACCAGGGACGTGGAATACAGTGAAGGCTGCCTCAGGCTGTTGGAAGCGAACCCAAATGTCTCTCCACATATCCTCACCCCAGAAGGGCTTATTCACAAGCATCTACCCTTTGGCTTCCCATTGTCCAAGCCATAGGGTTAATCTCTTCAGAACAGTCCAACTATCAGTGCAAAGGTTAGCAAACAGCCTGGACTCCTGAGTGATCCCCAGCCAAATCGCTCTGAATTCAGCCCACTGGCTGCTGCAGTTCGTTTGACATCCAGATGGTGTCAGTGTTGGGCTGAATAGCCGCTACAATCCCTGTCACCGGTTGCCCGACTAGACCCGTAGGTGAAGCAGGCATCAGCAAGAATTTCCCCGACTTCCTCTCTACAGGTTGCAGGGGCTACACAGGAATAGAGGCGGTGGGAGCAGTGGGTGTCTGGCGGATCTACATACTCTACAAAGCCTGGGAGCGCTCGCATTTCTAGAGAGAGTGGGCTGGCCGACCGGGTGCTCTTCTGCTGCACAAAACGCTGTCACTCAGTCAACGTGGGAGTCTGAGCCATGGCAGAGGTGGGTCAATGGAGCATATTGTCAATACACCCCTTGATAAGAAGGGATGTTATTACCATGATATGCTGGTTTTCGCGAGAGGTCCTATCTAACTCAAACTCAAATGGTAGCCCTGCTTGGGAGATGCCCAGAGCTTTCATCTGGTTCACTAGTATTTTTTGC